CAGAACTTAGACCCATCATTTTTTTAGAATGGGTTTCTCTAGCATTAGCGCGTCAGCTCACCTTGCTAAGACTCGACCGTCTGAGTGCTCAGCAATGAACCTCGATCCTCGGACAGATGGGCCAGTTCCTGGCGGCACAGAGAGTTGCTATGTGCGATATCCTGCAAGTCCATACTGCCTACTTGGGAGGAGCAGTTTTGGCTGAGCATGATGCAGTTCTGGGTCTGTGCGCCTATCCTACTCCAGCGGGAGATGAGTGTGACCGCATGCGGAGAAGGCCTTAGGGGCGTGACCGGTTATTTGGTGGCCGGTTAGTGGGTGCTGTGAATTGTTTGGCGGTTGTGGAAGATCAGCTTATCCAATTGAAGCAATCATCTCTGTTGGCTAAGGTACCTAGTCCTTCTGGTCAACGGGTCAGACCAAAACCGCAAGGCAGCCCATGTAGTTAGTCCGCCGCCCGGAGCTTACCACCCTCCATTTCGGTCTGTGCACCGTGTGTCTTCACCTGAGTACTAAGACAGGTGACCCAGCTGCTACACCGGTCGTCGGTCTATTGGAACCCATAACTCGATGACTGGTTAATACACAACCGAGATAGGGAGGTCTTAGTGGAACATGTGCAGTTGACGAAGATGCTCCTGCACGAGTTGGAAATACTGTCCCACATCCTAGTTTTTCTGGGTATGCAGTTCGACACGGAACAGGGGCGTGTTTGTCCTTCTCAGGAGCAATGCGACTCGCCTGTGAAGCTCGGCAGCTAACTGCGGTTGATGGGATTGGCGTCAATGCGCGAACTGATGTGGCTTATTGGCAAAATAATGTCAGTTCGTCATCTGGTTTTGTTAGCAGCTCTCCAGTCTCGTCCGATTCAGATATGCTACAGGACTACAGAGTCCACATGCAGGACTTGACGTTCAGGGTACAACTGTCGGATAAAGCGATGGCGGCCCTTCTTTGGTGGCAGGATGCACAGAACTTGGAAACGGGTGTACCCCTAGATTCAACATCAATTGGTTGTAAACCGTCCTACTGTCTCTGAAACATTTTCAGGAAGTCGCACACCACTACAGACAGCAGCTCAGTAGTGTCGTACATCAACAAGGAGGGGGGAACACGTTCCTCCACGTTATCAAAGCTAGCGGAGAAGATTCTCCTTTGGTGCTTGGAGAACCAAGTGGAGGTATGGGCTCACCAACTTCCGGAGATACCCAACAGCGCCGTTGACGCCCTCTCGATATGTATTCAGTTCCAGAACACCGAGTGGCGGACCGGCTTTTTTGTCTCTGGGACAGGCCCCGGATAGATCTGTTTGCCAATCACCAGAATGCCAAGCTCCCGAAGTACGTGTCACTCCTCCTGGAGATGAGCACATTCGCCACGAATGATCTATTAATCTTTTGGAGCCACATAGACTTATGCATTTCCACCCTTCCATCTGGTGCAAAAAGTGTTGGAGAAGTTACGACTCGAGCCCACCTGTATTCTGACGTTGGTGGCGCCCATTTGGCCAGTGAAGATCTGATTTCCATTGTTGCTGGAACTTCTAGTCGAGTCGCACTGAAACTGGCTTCGAGCTCTATTATGATTCGACTGTTTAAGTCTTTCTGCTCGAAGAGGCCACGCGCCAAGGGGCTAACAAGTCTGACTGGGACTTGTTGTTAGTTATGTCGGGGTTACGACCCCCCATCGATAAGGCAGACATGAAGTATGTCACTATGAAAACAGTTTTCCTTTTGGCTCTTGCGTCTGGTAAGCGGCAGATAGGGGCACTGTCTTTTAGTGACGGATGTGCCTCTTTTATGAACTTGCAAGTTATTCTGAAGACTCGGCTGGGCTTTCTTGCCAAGAATCAAATCCCAGGGCACGACCCTGAGCCGATCATAATCCCACGCCTAACTAACATTGTGGGCAAGGAGGACCGTCAGGAACGGATTCTATGCCCGGGTCGAGCTCTGAGCTGGTACTACGATCGCACCAAGGTGTCTCAGGGCAGTGAAAAGTGCATGTTTGTCTGTTATGCGGGGCAAACAGAGCCACCCTTCTTCAAATATCACCATTTCACGGTGGATTGTTGATACGGTCACGGAAGCGTATGAGTTAACAGTCTCTTCATTGCTTCGTTTGGAACGCCACCAGGTGAAGGCACACAAGGTGCGCGGGTAGCTAACTCATTGGCTTTGATGGCCTCGCTCGAGCAGGTGCTTCGAGCAGGTTCTGGAGATCTCAGAATTTCTTTATTAACTATTACCTGAGAGATCTCCAAGCGCTGCAGGAGGGTCTCTACAAGTTGGGTCCAGTGGTGATGGGTGCGACAGTGCCTTCAGCCGAAACCAGCCTCCTTTGCTTGACGCTATCGGTTTTCGTTCAATGCTATCAAACCCTAGCAGTATACTGTTTTGAGGCATTACAATTGTTGGGGCTTTAGTAGCCTCCCAAAACAACTGGTTTTATCCTGGGACTAGACTCCTTTTTGCTTTAGATTTCTCAGTTTTGGTTTTTGGACCTTCCTTTTTGGGGTCAAAACATATACATTTACTTCCCCACCTCCGGTGAGCGTGCTACTCCACCTAAAATAAATGGGATTTATTATTTCCACGGACTTTCTGGTAGGTGATATAGTAAACTATTAGGGTTGTACAAACCCGTTTGTTTACCTAATCATACCTTTCGATAAAGTCCATGGAAGGCCGCCCACCTCCCTACAAGCTTCCGGCGGCCCATTGTGGCTGCAGAAACGTTTGTGAGAATATTGGATCATGCCTCTTATGCGTTACCACTCTGCGCGAACGGAATGGCCCCTTTAGAGAGGCATTTTTATCTATAGGGAATGCTACCCTAAGATGTTCTTTGTGAACAGGGTATATTCCCTAATAGTTCCCGATTAGGGCTGTAATCTGTAGTTAAGCCTACGAATAATAAATGGAATTTATTATTTCCAAGGACTTTCTGGTAGATGTGATTAGGTAAACAAACGGGTTTGTACAACCCTAATAATTGGTGAATATTCATTCATATCACATTGACAAACTATGTGTATAGTAAAATATAGCGCTGCATTGTTAAATACAATTTCAAAAGTGTATATATATATGTGTATCACTATGATTGTCTCCGCCGTTGATCACAAAACAATAAAACAAAATAAAATAAAATGAACCAACCTACTCCATATGTTACTGATTGTGACTACTTAAAGGTGCGTAATGCCACAACAAAAATAAGTGGTATCGGTGACAATGCCCTCAACGCAACGCTACTGTGACTAGAGGTCTGTTTGTTATGAACTACATACTACAACACTCCGGTACATCAGATGTACTAACAACCACTGGCGATTAGTACGTCCAAAAATGTGACTACATATCAGGTTTTTAAGCCTAATAATACAATCTAAATTATAATGTAAATTCAGTATAGTTGAATCTCGGCTTTCGCAGTCATCACAGGAAATTTCCCCTCTCATTTCAAAATACCCTATCCTTTTCATATGATTAATAAATTCTGTCTTAGTTTCATCGTATGTCACACATGGCAGCTATCCGTGAATACAGATGTTTTTTGAAAGTTGTATGTCAAAGATTTATGACGATTTATTTATGTTATACTTTCAGTGATATTTCAGAATTTCAAGACAACGAATATGGAAACTGTTTTACATTCAACCCATCAACTCAAAACAGAGAATTGTATACAACTTCGAAAACTGGCAAACAAAACGGTAAGCCACATTTAAAGAAAGCTATTGTGAATACGTAAATACCACTAGGCCATTACGATTGAGTTTAATTAATTTATTATTCAAGAATCAATTAAATAAATTGAAATTGTTAGCTGTCAATTTTATTGACTCTAATGTGTGAAAATTAATGTGTGAGGTTCAAAGATAAATGCTCATTCCCAGTAACTGGCATGTGTGTGTTCTATTTAACATAAGTCCTGTACGTTGCCGATTCGCATACGCCATTATGTATAATGTCAATTAAACATTTATACATTGAATGTATATAATACATATCATTGTTCTTTTCAAAATGTGGTGGCAAATATATTAAATATGCCAAATTAAAATAATAAAATATTGTTTTCTATATCGTTACAAGGTGTTACACTGATCCTATTTGTAGAACAGTCTGAATATTTAACATTATTATCTGAAGGCGTCGGATTTGTGTTATCTGTACATAATCCAAATAATCACCCCTTTCCAGAAGATGAGTCAATAAGCGTTGTACCTGGATACGAAACTTCAATTGGAATTTCTATCGTAAGTTTGACAGTTTCATTCACCGCACACATAACGTCGATTAAGAAACATATTTTTTTTAAATTAAAAAAAACACTCCCACATGTAAGATGTGTATTATATATATTACCTATTTCAGAGTGAAACCAAACGTTTGGGACAACCATGGTATAATTGTACAAAAGAAGATAAGACACCTTATGGCAACTATCCTTACTCAACTTCGGTATGTTGTATTACTTATACACCACTGGATGATAATAGTGCTGAAATTATGAGCGTGCATTGCTTTCTGCAAGGTT